GGGAGAGGACCCTGGGTCTGAACCCCTCCCCACCAGGTGTCCTGAGGGTCCCTGTGGATGTGGTGTGACTGGGACCTCCCTTCACACCCTTAGGTCCTGAAGGGAGGAGGACCTGATGGCCAGAAGGTGGGGCGTACTGCTCTGTGGCCTCCTGCAGGTCCTGGGGTGTCTGCGGTCCTTCCCCTCACCGTGTGTGATGTCAACGTCCTGTTTCCAGGGAGGGGTAGGGCAGCGGGTCTTGGCATTACACACCGTGCCCCCACTTTAGATGTAGTTACAACTCATAACCTTGGCCCCTGACTCAGCCTCTTCCACCTGGGAGGGTGTTTCCTATCCCCATACCCTGTTGTGGGCAGGGCTGTCTGCTGCCTTGGGGATGGTTCACTTGTGGTCACCCCTGAGAGCTCACCTAGGTTCCAAAGGAGGGGAAGAAATCCCAGGTTGGCAGCAGGAGACCAGGCTTTGCCCCATACCCCAGGCCAGCTCTGCTCATCCTTCTGTCTGGTGGGGACTCTGCCCCAGGCTACCGTGGACCCTGGGAGGCTGGACTGACTATGGCAGAAGTAGGAGTGCAGGAGGGAGCTGCCTTACTGACAAGGGCTGCCACATCCTCCTGGGCAGGTCTGTCTTGCTCTGAATAATTGAATAGAAATCCTCCACACCATGAGGCAGAGCTCTCAGGCCCTGCCTAATCTCATTAAGAAGTCCCCTGACAGTCTCTTTAGGTGGCTAGATGCTCGGAGATGTTTATCTCTGCCACAGGGTGGTTAGGCCCCAAGAGTGTGGATGTTGGATCAGGCCCCTGCCCTACTGCCCTCCAAACACAGGCTGAGGCAGAAATGATGCTTCACAGCTCTGCCAGGCACCAATTGTTTTTAATCAATTATGGTTTGCTGGGCTTAATTACTTTAAAATTGTTAATTTCAGCTGGAGAAAGCAGGCAGCAGACGAGGAGGAAATGGGACCCTCCTTAGGGCTGTGAGGCTGGGGAGAGTTGATGGGATGGTTTCCAGCTGGGCCAAGACCACTCTCTGGAAGAGTTCTGGCAGGCTGCCCATCCAGCCTGCCGGGTGTGGCAGGGACAGACCAGTGGGCTAAGAGTATGATCTGTGCTACAGGAGAACGTAGCCAGCCCAGGGGCCCTAGGAGCACAGATGGGGTGCCTAATGTAGTTTGAGAGCAACCATGGGAGGCATTCTGGAAGAAGTGACTCCTGAGCTGAATCTTGAGGTGGTTATTCAGAGGCTTGATCAGACTAACATTCAAGATGTTTGATGAGACCCTAGGTATTGATGTGCTGTTTCATCCAATGACACAAGTCAAGTTGTCTGTCTATTTTTGACGTGTTAGCAGCAATGATGTTCAATGATTACATTGGTTAATCCATTTGGGGGTGAAGAAGTATGATATTTTAATTACATCATTTCTTTTTAACTTATCAGCTGGTTTAATTTTGTAAAGAGACACTTCCCTTCATCTACTGCTGGACCACCCATTTAAACAGTTCATAGAGGAAAGTCACGTTAGATGCTTCTTTCTTTTCATTCACTTATCCATTATCAAGACAATGAATTGCTGCCCTGTCATCCTGCAAAGATGATAAATTAATTTTAAAAACCAAAATGAAATCAAGGATTAAAACATATTTGATGGATTACAATGCACTGCAGTTATTGTATTTGCTGATGTTCAAGCTGTCTCATCTTGTCACCAGTTGGAGCCCCTTCAGGTTAGCTCTTAAGTCCTTTTGATGTGACCCTAGTAGCCTGAAAGCTTCCTTGACATCTGGTTTGGCAAGATGTTTCAAGCTCATCTTGTATGTTTCCTGCCCAGGACTACAATCAGTCATTTCTCCAAGAAACCTTAGTTTCTTTTAGTGGGAGATAATATTGAATACTGAATATTCGACATTGGTATCCCCCTGCTTCCGGCTTGATCACTGTGTCAAGGTCATTTCAGTGGGAAGTGCTAGGTATTACATACATGAGAAAATTCTCTGTCGTTTATACAGATACACCCAATTCAAATTGAGAACTGTGAGATTTTTACTTAACCTCTTCTGTGACATCTGTATCTCCTTTCTTCCTCACTGGTAAATCTGATTCTCAAAGGCACAGGGAATAATTGAATTAGAGTATCTAACAAGTCATTTGTCTCACCTCAATAGATGCACACCCAAGTTCAGATGAACAATTTCCACAATACCATATAAGAGCTCAATGAGAGAAATTGAAGTCAACAGGAATAATTGGGAAGATATTCCATCCACATGGATTGAAGGAGTTAATATTGTTAAAATGTCCATATACCCAAAGCAATCTACAGACTTAGTGCAATCTTTAATATAATCCAATGGCATTCTTCACAGAAATAGTACAAACAATCCCCAAAATTGTATAGAAGCACAAAAGACACCCAATAGCAAAAGCAATCTTGAGAAAGAAGAACAAAGCTGGAGACATCACATTCCCTCATGTCAAATTATATTACAAAGTGGCAGTGATCAAAAACAGTATGATATTGGCATAGACACAAACCCACAAATGAATGGAACTGAATACAGAGCTCAGGAATAAACCTATGCATATATTGTCAGTTACTTCAGTCAATTTACAACAAATGGGTAAGAATACATAATGGTTAAAGGACAATCTCTTCAGTAAATGCTGATGGGAATGCTGGACAGCCACAAGCAAAATAAGGAAACTGAACCACCACCTCACACCATCCACAAAAATTAACTTAAAATGGATTAAAGCCTTGAATGTAAGATCTGAAACTGTAAAGCTTCTAGGGAAAAAGGGGGGGGGAGGAGTCAGCTTCTTCATGTCAGCCTTGGTGATAATGTTTTTTGGATCTGCCTACGGAGCAAAGGAAACAAAAGCAGAAATAAACAAGTGGGACTACATGACTAAAAAGCTTCTGCACAGCAAAGGAAACCATCAACAAATTTAAGAAGCTCCCTCTGAATGGGAGAAATTATCTGAAAATCATAGCTGACATGCGGGTAATATCCAAACCATATGAGAAATCATACAAATCAATAGGAAACAAAAAATAAGCAGTATGTTTATAAAATGGGTAGAAGATCTAAATAAATATTTTAAGAAAGATGTACAGATGGCCTATAGGTACAAGAAAAGAAGCTCAACATCACTAATCAAGGAAATGCTAATGAAAACCACAATGAGACATCACCTCACACTGAATACAATGGTTAATATCACACACACACACACAGACAAAAATCCCAAGACATTACAAATATTGGAGAGGATGTTGAGAATAGGGAACCCTTGTGAACTGTTGATGGGAATGTAAATTGGTGTAGTCAGTATGGAGTACAGAATGGAGTTTTCTCAAAAAATTAAAAACAGTACTACCATACAACACTACTATCCACTTCTGGTTGTTATCCAAAGAAAAGGAAAACACTAACTTTAAAAAAAGAAAAATTGAAGTACAGTCAGTTACAATGTGTCAGTTGTTGGTGTACTGTTCAATGTCACAGTCATGCTTATAAGGAAAATACTTACTTGAAAAGATATATGCACCTTTATGCTCACTGCAGCATTATTTATAACATCCAAGATACAGAAACTACCCAGGCGTTCGATGACAGATGAGTGGATAAAGAAATGATGATATAGGTGTAGAATGGAATATTCGGCCAAATAAAAGAATGAAATCTTGCCATGTGGCAATGTAGAAGGACCTCGAGAGCATTATGCTCAATGAAATAACTCAGAGAAAGGCAAATACTGGAGGATTTCACTTACATGTGGAATTTAAAAAGAGATCCAAGCTCATAGATCCAGAGAGCATATTGGTGATTGCCAGAGGCAGGAGGTGGGTGCAGTGAAATGGGTGAAGGTGAAGAGGAACTTTCAGTTTTAATACAAATGAGGCATGGAGATGTAAGAAGCAGCATGGTGACCATAATTAATATTATATTGCATATTTGAAACTTCCTAAGAGAGTTGACATTCAAAATTCTGATCAGAAAAAAAATTGTTTATGCATGTATGGTGCTGGATGTTCATCTAGACTTCAAATAGGGAAAAACAACCTGACTCCATATTGATTGGTTTCTATTATTTTAACCTTTGTATTCTATTGGTTTTGCTACAAAGTAATCACTTAAAGAATGTTGTCTCTAGCCTGAAATATACAGGAGAGCCTATTCTCAAGACTCTGACCCTTAAAGAAAAACACCTTTCCATTCATGTAGAAATAAAAAATTGCAAAACAGAGAAAAGCCTTGGTCTTATGGAGATTTATAGGAACACTGTGACCAGATCAACAGCAGCAAAGAAAGGATTCAGGTTCTAGGTGGTTTGCCCCAACCAACGACAAATCCTCCCCTTTTAGTATAAAAGAAACCTGAATTTGAACTTGGGTAAGAAGGTTTTTTGGAACATTAGTCTGCTATTATCTCCATTTGCTGGTTTTCTGAGTAAAGATGCTATTCCTTGTTCCCAAAACTCCTCTCTCGATTCACTGGCCTGTTATGTGGCAAACAGTACCAGCTCGGCCTCGTCAACTGATTTGTTATGATTATTTCACAGTATGTACAAGTATGGAGTCATCATGTTGTGCACTTGAAACTGACCTAATGTTGTGTGCCAACTATACCTCAAAAAAGAAAAAAGCTACAGTATACTGAGATAAAGATAATATAGAACTAGCTGTGGCTTCTGAAAAGTTAGAACTAGTTTCATTACATGTCAGTTCTCTCCTTCCCCTTTCCTGTTTTGTCTGTACCATTTCTACATTCTCAGAACATAAAGCCATTAGGAGACAGGCTGGAACCTGAGATCCTTTCCCCGAGTGCTTGTGTTGATTTTGTAGTGGAAGAGCGCAGTGACCCCATGTTTGCTTCAAGGCCACGTGTGTCTGTCCTCTGTCTAGGATATGTATTCTGTATTTTGATTATTCTTTATGATTTTATTTTTTTTAATGAGATAATTTTATAAGGCACCAAAGTAAGGTGGAAACAGTTGACCTTTTTCTCATTTCTCTAGTCTCCTACAAAATCTCTATATAATGCCAGACGTTGGAGCCATCCAGACTCAGAACTACCTGGGCCACCAGTAGTAAACCTCAGAGTGTCATGGTAAGTGAGCTGTGCTTTGCCATTTCATGTTTGTGTAATGAATTATAAATTAATTAATCAGTTGCTATCTTCATTCATAATTTGAAAGTCTCTGGCTTTCCTAATAGTTTATTTGTGACTCCCTCACTAAAATTTAGGGGCTTTAATTTTATTCATTGGAAAAGTAAAGATTGTGGACAGAATAACAGAAATTCTGGTGTTACTCGGTTATAAATGAAAGCCTCAAAAAAATATTAGACTACTCCTGACCCACACTTTATGGAAATGATGCACTATTATGTATTTCATATTTGTATTAAGAGCTATATTATAAACTACATTAATCTTAAAGTGGCTTTGAGTGATTAATTTGCTTTCAGAGCGGAACTTTTCCTGCATTCCACTAATACCTTTCAATTCAAAACACATTTGAAAAAGATTCTTATCAAATTATTTTCTTCAGAATAACCGATAGGACCATACATTAATACTTCCGATTAATGGTGACAACCTGAGCCATCTGGAGCAATCAAAGAATGAGTACTTTAGAATAACAAAAGTAAGGATAGAAATCATTCTAAAATACAATGTACAGTTCCTTGTCTTCTTAAGTTGATATATTATACTCCTTTTACTAGTATAGAAACATTATTGTGCATTTGATGGCTATTTTTCCTACCCTAAAATACAGATGCCTCTACTTTAAAAATCCTTTCATCCATCTGTTTTAGTTTTCCTGTCCATCCTGAGCTGCTTATAAGTGCTATTTATGTATGTAATTTTGTTCCTTCTAATGGTCTTGGGGACAAATAATAACTTGAATGAAATGTAGGATTAAAAAGACCAGAAGGAATTCCTGAGTGGTTCTTTTGTGAATAAAGCATTTTGAGTCTTACCTTGTAGGGCATAAAATTTTTAAAGTATCCCTAGTGATCTTTCAGAGGCCTCCTCCTTTCTTCGGCAGGGGGAGAGGGGATTATTATTCTTAAGCTAAATTTGCCATTTAGATGAGATGTTGCTATTTTTATATATTTATTTAGAACAGCTAATTTAATACCTTTATTAATATGTGAGGCTTCAAAGGAATCAAATCAAAAAGATGATGGAGTTTTTAAATCTCCTGCACCACCACCCAACGTGATAAACACTGTGATAAATACTGTGACAATACCTGCTCAGCCCTACCAAGATATTGTTACTGCACTGAAATGCAGAGAAGAAGACAAAGAAGTAAGCAGTCATATACACTTTTACTGCACATGGGTAGAATTTTGTGTGTTATAGCCTTTTAATGTCCTGAACACAAATTAGTACCCTGGTGCTCAGCGTTGAACCATGAACTTATCCTACTACTACCAGTGTTTTTACAGCATTTAATTTGGTTGCCATCTGACAAACTGTACACTTTTAAATAGAGCCCAGCAAACCCATAGATTTAAATATGCTACTTCAGGGTTACCAAAGAAGTGGACTTCTGTTTTCTTGGCAGTTAGATACTGTTGTTCAGCATGTGAAGCACTTCAGTGATGTAGTGGAATTTGGTGAAAATCAATAGTTCACTGATGATACTGCGTACTTGTTAAGTGGCTTAAAGTGCACTCAGCCTCTAAACACATGAGGCCTTAGGTAAGATCTTATTTTTATATTTGATAATTGTATGCCTCCTCTTTCTCATTAAAATTTCCTCAGTGGGTAGAGCTAAACATTTGTGGTTTTGTTATCATAGGTGTAGGTTATAGTGATGTTAAAATGGGATTGGTTTAAGAGACTTAATTCTACATGGATTAAGGAAAGTTGAATGATAAGACCTTTTAAAAGTATAGAATAGGATTCAGCTTCCAGATGCTTAACAGAAGTGTTATGCTAAAGAATCTTTTCAGTTCTTCCTTAGCCCCAAATTTTACACATGCAAATGGTAAATTTGATTGAAGTACATTTTGCTTTGGATCATCTCTTATATACTATAATGGATGGAATGTCTTGATTTAATTGAATTATCCAGACATTTGGAGTGTGTCCCAGTAGATATTTATAATCTTTATGAATCAGAAGCATTATGAAAGATAGCTGAGATTTTTTTTTGCCTTTAATTTAATGGTAGTAATAATGTAAGGAATACACTACAGGCGATTATGTGTTATTTATATTTTTTTAATATAGCACGCATAATCACATACTATACATCAGTAAGTTTTTAATAATTTGGCTTACCCATGTTTTTTATATTGTGATCTGTATGAGCAATGCTTTGACATCTCCTCACCCCAACGCATGTCCTTTTGCTTGTTTTGGTATTACATAAACAAAATACTAAGGTACTAGGAATTTTCAGTCCCCTAACCTAGTCTCCTCTCTTCTAGTGTTATGAGCTTGACTACTAAATGTGCCATGCCCTGTTTTATAATGTACCTGAGAGCACATGGGATGCTAGCAATGGTCTTTAACACCTTGGATGATTCCCAGCATCATCAGGGATTTAAGTTTCTGGGATTGAGAAGCGTTATTTAAAAATTCTACTTTATTTGGCTATTAAAAAAATACCTTCATTCACCTATAAATATTTCCTAATTATGGGTTGAGTTAGTCTTATTTGCTAAATATTTAGAGCTTAATGCCCCAAATTTTCTCTTAATAAATTAAGTAAGGTTATTTTCTAATGACCTTTTTCCCCCTTAACTTGTCAGTTTATACTATTAAAACACTACTTAGTTATCATAGCTAGCATACCATACTGGAGATTCAATTCTGTAAGTATTGATTTTCTCTAGTCAAAAAGTACTAAAAAATTATTTATTTTTGATGTTAATAGTGTGGAAAAATGTAAAAAGATACTAAAAAATGTTTTTGACATTTTGTCTGGATGTTGAATATAGGACATAGCCCATTATGAAAAAGAATCTATTCCTCATTTTCATTATGATTTTGACACTTTCTCTTAAAAGTAAAGCATATATATAAAAGCTGGGGTTAACAATTTCAAAGTTAGGAAAAAAGTCATAACTAATCATGATCAGTAGCGGTATTTTGAGATGGATTTATTTTTGTTCAAGGAAATATCCCAACACCTATGCCATTTTAATTTCCAGAAATT